AACTTTATTCGTGTCACAAAAACAACGCCTACTTCGACCTTTTAGACTAGCCGGGGGGGCCAACTTGAGAGTTTCAAATGGTAACCGCAACATTTTATTGGAGATTCGAATAGTACGTCATAAACTGAGAATGATATATCCAAAATATGTTCTTCTATTTTGACAGGTGACGCTGGAAGTAATCAATTATCATTTTTTTGCTTTAGATCTGCTAAACTATCTATTATTTTATTGAAACGCTGAAAATTTTAGTGTGACCAATAACATCTATTAATGGCAGAGAAATATTCGGTCCGAAAATTGGTTGATGATGAAAATCAAATATGTACCTCCAAATCAACAAAACATCTATTTGTTTATTAAAAGTATAGCATCAATGGTTTGAAAATTCGCATTGCAAATATGTTGCATTTCGAAATGTATTTTGAATATCAAGCTGTCAAAGTCATCTAAAATTTCTCTCAACTCAATGTAGGATCGCTAATAAAAGCGTAGAAAATTGTTGACTTTGACATTTATTAATTTCGTTCTGAGTTAGAACAACTATTTGAATTTGATTTAAATAAGCTGCTATAATTTTTGATATAGACTCATTAACTGTGCAAGGCAAAATTGAAATTATTTTCGTATACGGAGAAGCCGGCCGATATACTTTCAATAAATAAATAGATGTTTTGTTGATTTGGAGGTACATATTTGATGTTCATCATCAAACAATTTTCCGACTGAATATTCATCTGACATTAATAGATGCTATTGGTCACACTAAAATTTTAAGCGTTTCATTAAAATAAAAGTTCAGCAGATCTAAAGCAAAAAAAATGATAATTGATGGATTACAGCGCCACTTGTCAAAATCGAAGAAAATGTTTTAGATAAATTATTTCCAGTTTTTGACGTACTATTCGAATCTCCAATAAAATGTTGTGGTTACTATTTAAAATTCTCAAGTTGACCCCTGCCTAGCCTACAAGGTCGAAGTAGGCGCTGTTTTGTGCTGTCTGACACGAATAAACTTCCCCCTCCCAGATATTAACTTCTCATTTGAAACATTTTTTACTCGAATCACTCGTTTCCGAAATATTTAAGGGTTTCAAAGAAAAACCACCCTATATCTCTTTTTCAAGCTGCATTTAATTTAATTTTTTTTCTTTAAACTCTTTTCCTCGTCCTTTCTCAAGTAACAATAACACTTTGGGTTATTTTGCTATTGGATAGATATCGTGAGGTAATCTATTAATGAAACAAAACTAATTTATTCACTTACATGGAGGAACCAAAAATTTTGCTATCATAATTTGCAAACGATTCAAATAATTG